AAAAAATTTTGCCTGGGGGGCTTCCAGTTCCGGGCAGCTGTCCCTCAGTGTTATGTTGTATTAGTGGTACTGTTGGTAAAAGATCTGTACTCACGTATAATGTTGTGGTTTTCTTAATTTTGTCTTTTAGGCTCTTTGGTGTGTTCAGTGTGAGGATACTGTGGTATTGAGTTTGACTATACCGATATCTGCTCTTAATACGTTTTGCATATTCAGTTTCGAACCCTTTGGGTATTGTAAGAGGCCCAGTGAGCTCCAACATTCACGGTGTAGCATCGATACTATTGATTGTTACTGAACCTGGCGAGAATTGAACCTTATCTCCTAGACGAGTTCTAGGTGTACTGTTACTTTGTGCGTGTTGGAGAGTGTATCATTCGGCGATGGTTTATATATAAAGAGGAGCGATTTAGTATCGATACTGCATCGTTCTTATGATCTGCTGACTCAAATAGCAACATCGTAATACATCAAAGTTTCTACAGTAAATTTTTATAAAACGTTAATGCCAAATATTCTACAATTCGTGTTTTCTACAACAAACGTAAGTAAAACCGGTGTTATAGAAAATATAATTACAAAAAAGTGGCATTTCTGATGTTTAATACCCTGTATCTCGAAAACTAGTCATAGATTCGGCCGTGGATTCGGTTTGGACCAATCAACACTTTTTGTATCGAGTACTACAACATATATCTAATAATTATACGAATAGCCATTTTTGCATGTGTATCTGGTTCTTTTATGAGGGAAAATACTTTAAATTTGTCCGCAAAAAAGTGGCTTATTGTCGCATATTTTTAATTTTCTGTTGCAAAACTTGAAAAATTGGAATTAATTCAAATAGTTCCTATATGTATAAATGATCGGAAAATTTGCAGTAACTACAAACTAAAGCAACATATCAACTCGAAAGTGAGACATATTTGCTCGCCATATTTTTCTTGCAATAATAACAGCGCAGTTTTGTCTGTTTACCAGTTACGCCCCTGTAACTGTTTCAGCCCTCGCTCATTTGCAAAACATTAAAAGTATTCTGGATCTTATTCATATGTTTTAATGTACACGTAGATTTGTAAATTTTTGTAGAAAATGCATGAATGTTGAAAATGTTATGATATTTCTGTATCAAATTTATAAAACTATTCTCACATTTGCTTACATTTATTTTCATGTCAACATTATTATTTTTATTAGTTTTTGGGGTATATTCTGTAAAAGTTTTCTTAAAATTAACCCTGGGTGATAAAAATAACTGGATGTTATTTTTACTTTTGTATTCTATATTCTTTTTCTTATTTTTATTGCTGCATTGGGCTTACCTTCACTTCCCTTTTTAGGTATATTACATCTATTTCAACTAGTATTGGTTATAGCACAAAATTGATGGAATATTAAATATAGATTTGGGTCAAAATTTAAATGTCATAATTTTAATCTGGCGTTAAAATTAACTAAAACGTTGTAGAATAGACCCCTCTGAACGATATCTGCATGCCACACCTTTCAAACTTCTGGGCAACGTCTAAAAATACTTCAGAACAAACTTGTTTTACCTCAAGAGCATGGTTCCATGAAATCTGTTCTACAGAGTTGGGATAAAGTACGGAACCAAATAAATATCATAACCAAAACATGATAATGTTGAAAATTTGCAGGATGATGAAATGACACATAGGGCATAATCCTGCGACTTTTTTGTTTTTGAAATTCGTTTGTAATGGGTTTGGTATGAGTATTTATTTGGTTTCCGTTTGGTTCCATACTTTATCCCAACTCTGTATGTACTTGGTTAACAGTAAAAAGTTTTTGTAAAAACCATGTAAAGATCCGAATTGGAAATGAGATATGAATTGTTTTATTTATCAGGTCTAGTCTCTTTCGCAGTAATTTTCAAATGATTTTGACACAATTGGTAAGAGAAAAACAGGCCTTAAAGTCGTTTGGTATGTTTCCTGGGTTCAGTATGCAGTTTGTAAGCTGTCATTGAAAAGGAGTTGTTTGTTTCGGTGCTTCTATAATTTTCTGTTAATAAGTTCTGAGATTTTCTTGTTTTTCTTGATTTTGAATGTTGTTTAAATTACGTCCTACGATATTTAATGGTTTATATGTATCAAATTTGTTTGGGTGAACTTGTTTTTTTCATTTATTGGTCTCAACCTATACTAGTTATTTAACCAGCACTAACATTAGTTATATGTAAATAAATATAAAATTTAAAATACTACCCAGATAACAATTATACATTCTTAGCATATTCTTAGTATATACTTTTTAAGAATACGCATATGCTTGGAATATACTGTACTTGCATTTGGTACATTCTCAGAATATGCTAAGCATATGCTACGTGACGTTGTTTATACGTGCTATGCAGATACTGAGAATGTACTTCAAGTATGTGTACAGTATGCAACAGGTATCTACTTTAATTTGATAGTACGTTCTAAGTATATGCTAAGTATTTAAATATAGCATATGCTAGGCATATACTAGACACCTTAATACAGGATGTTTAATTAATATTGAATAAGTGTATATAATGAGTCTTTATTTCAAAGAATTCATACTTATTTTTATTACAAATACTATCTTTGGCCTTAACCAATCAATATTTTATTGTATCAATGGCTTGAGTTTCATTTGCTTGATTCCATTGGATCCTCATTGAACCTAAAAAATAAAAAAAAATTAACAAACTTGGTATATATATAAATTAAGTGTACATAGCTAATGGTATATTTTAAATATTTTTGTCCAACATAAAACATTAAAAATTGTACATGGCATTCCACTAACAAAAACAAGAGTTACATAAATGACTATGATGTTTAGTGAAAGTTTAAATATATTTTTGTTAATTACTTACCACCATTTTGTAGTTTTCGTCCTCCTTTAGCTAACTTTTCTAGTTCTTACAGGTCAATATCTGGCCTTGCAGGATTTTTTTCATAGAAAGTGTGCATGTAATTCTGGTAACACTGTATTTTAGTTTCAATCCACCATTAGTATTAACTATATTAATAAATTCACACTGGCCAATTAATATTTGGGATATCCTGTATTAAAACGTCACTTATAGGTCCTAAAAACTATAAATATAGTAAAATTTGTTTATTTTCATATAGAACATACGATGCAATTAATTTTTATTAATTGACTTACCTCTTTACAAACAAGATCAAAAAAAATTGTAGGAATTGTAGGTTATGTTATTCTTCTTCTTGTCTTCTATTTTAGTTTGAGAATGTTTTTTGGCCTAAACATTCAACATTAGTGCGTTTGGTAGCGAATTATTAGATCGGCATCGGGGAAAAATTCATATAGATATGTATATAAACTTGTTTTTACATGTATTTGGTGTTAATTTTTACCTGCAAACATTTAGAACATTTTCAGAATATGAGGTACATGCCGAGTATATGACTTTTAGTATCTTCTAAGAATGTCCTGTTATAGCACGTGCTCAGTATATACTTTTTGGAATATACCTACTTTTAAGACACGTACTCAGTATATACTTTCTAGAATATACTTTCAAAGTATATTCTAGGTATGTTCTAAGAACATTCTCAAAGGATATACTAAAAAGAACTTAAACAGAACGTTCTTGGTATATTCATAGAACATTGATGTTATGTGGTTATTTGGCTCAGTGAAATTAAAAAAAGGTAATTAATATAAATTAATGTTAGAAGATTTTAAAAATGACGTGATTATGACTGCACTGCTAAATGATGAATCTAAAAAGTTGGATTTCTATTTTACTTGAGATATTTCTCCAATATTTTATTGTACAATGGTGCTAAATTTTTAAAAGTCGTACAGACATACCTAAAATTAATTTTAATCGAAATCTAGGTCTCGCATCTCTATTATCGACTAGAACTCTTCAATAAAATTACGCTGTGTATTTGCCTGCAGTAGTAGAAAAAGAAAAAAATCCCAGTTTATCATTTTATAGATTTAAATTTCCTTCACTTGATAGACGTATTGAAATTGAAAATACCTTTTGGAGTAATGGAAACGGTTCTTCAAAGGAAGGCTTGGATAATCAAATTAAAAATGGAAAAAGGCAGTCACTGAAAACGTATGCTAGTTTACTAGCGGCACTTTACAAAAGATTTCGTTCGTCTGGTTTTTATGTTTATCTTGTTATTACTTAACTAATATTTAATTTCGTTTTGGTAGGAAATTTATATAATTGTAGGTCTAAACAAGAAGTAACATTTGATTTAATCAACTGCAGCGCCTGATTTTAAAACTACCTAAGCAGAAATTCTGCAAAACGAGAGTTTCGCTATTCTTAATGATTATTTTATTTAGAAATTAAAACAAATCGTTAGTTTGGAATGTGACATATTAATATGAATGAACTAAAATTTTAAAGGAACCAATGTTAAAAAAAATTAATCTAATCAAATAATCGAAATATAGCTAATAATATGATAAAATATATTAACACCTTCATCCAAATAAATATCTAATAGAAAGAATCTGAAATAATAAAAAAAATGTTTATTAAAAACATTTTAAATACCCAAATAGTCACCAAAAAACTTCATCAACTTAATTTGAGAACTGCCATTGACAATTCTGCAGTGTTCTACTTTTAAGATAATTTTTTTATAATTCATAAACAAATTAGAGCATAATTCGTTTCTATTTTCTGAAAACAATCCTGTTTCTATTATAGGAAATAAAAAAATGAAATTTGTAGATAATAATATTTTGTAAATATATGTCATTTTTAATCTTTTTCTATAGGAAAGACAATCTGAGTTAATATTAATTCACATATTACCAAGTATCCCATTTAACCGACTCCGTTTCCTAAATCCACAAGTAGTTCATTTTAAGTGGACCACCCTGTATATGGATATTCTCTAGCATGTTTTTTTTTTCAAATTCTATATATCTATCCAATTACTGTACCGCATGTCTAAACAAAACAAAAGCATGCACAAACACCTAGCACTAACAATTGTAAATAAATGTAGACATCACACAACCACACACAGACCACAGCAAAAATTCAACGGGAGTAGAAACAGAAAACATCCTACTACACCCAAACCGTCTGTACACAGCGAAGAACCATCGACCAACTCGTCCGGCAAGAGATACTCCGGTAGAAGAACCAGCAAAAGTACCAAGACGCCAAGCGAATCATCCACATCCACTAGTTCTGCAAGTTCTGCAAATTCTGCGTTTTCTAGAAGAGGGTACAAACCTAAAGTGCAGCCGTCTGCAGTCGATGCGCATGGAAGCGGCTCATCTAGTTTGTACAAGTTTAAGCTTAACAGGTGGGTAATTTTTTACTTACAGATTTAATAAAATATTTGCATTACTTTTTTAATGCTGGTACATTCCCGGTTTCTAAATTTACGAACATATACATATATTATAAATTCTCAAAGGTAAACTAAAAAATGTTTCCACATAAATAACAATATTTTATTGAAGAGCTTCCACAAAATAAATCATCGTGCCCGTTCCAATTAAAAATAACGAATAAATATCACAAAATATGTTTATTTAACGAATTAGTCCTTTCCTTTGAAATCCTTTTTACCCGCTATTTATTGAATCCAATTCATTTTACTTTGATTTTCGTTTCCAAATGGAAGCATATATTTTTTAAAAACTAAAAAAATACTTTTTGTCTACGAGTAAATTATTATTTTACACTTATACCCCAGTTCTGAAATTTTGATTAATACGCCCGTGTTAATCAAAATTTAATTTAAAAATGTACTTATCACTGATGGTCTAGGGCAGGGATCTCCAAACTTTCTGTTTACCTTTGAATTAAATAGATGGATTGGAAACTGAGGTCTCATTCTTATGTCTGTGCATTTACCACACTCGACGTTGCTTGATATTTTCCTTTGGTGTACATCAAGTATGCCCTGCTAATTCAAATAATCAAAGAAAATAATCGAATCGGTTTTTTGAAAAAGGGTACAAACGGCAATTTCGGCTATTTTTCGTTTTATGGGTTTTCTATAATTTTATTAAACACGAACCATTTGGAACGAAAAATAAAACAAAATATCACGGTAGAACTGCATTAATTAAATATCCGTTTCACTGAGTCATTATATGATATAATACACAAATCCTCGTCAATATCGCGAAGTGACGTAACTCGATTTTCACAATTTTAAATTATCACATACACCGGTTAAATACGTGCTATTTTAATAAATGTAATGAATTGAATGTTTAATTAGTTGTGAATTTTTGTTGTGGTTTGTGGTGTAAATATTATACAGATGGGCTTATTCCGTCATCATTTATACTAGCAAAGCCTGCCGGGTTCAAGGAGAATCTTCCAGCTGAAGAAGATCTTGGCTTATGTCACAATTTATTTTTATTAAAGTTTGATAACTTATTTTTAAAAAATTTTAATATTTACGCTTCAGTTACAGTTGCAGAAATAAATAATTAAATATCTCTTAAAATGACACTACTGCCTAAATTATTTCCGGAAATTTTTCAAACTCACATCCCTAGTCTTGAGGGATAATTTTCTTAAAATATTGATGAGTAAGCAAAAATGTCCAGACAATAATAATTTAGGCACGTGTGGTATTAGTAAGAAAATTTTATACCGAAATATTAAAATTTGAAAACTTGACAGACATGACAGTAATGCATGTTTGTTATGTTTGAAGTCGTTTAGTCGCCGCGAAAAACCTAATTATTTTACTTATAATAATTATTATTGTAATGTATTGTTATCTAGTTATAATTGGTATTAAATAAATTATTAACAATTGAAATGGCAAATTTTTTAATCACACCTTCGCGTGCGAATGTAATTTGCTTGGAAAAGCTTCTCAAAAAATGTCAAAAAATTTCCAGTTTAATTTCGTTCAGAGTATCCACTAAGAGAAACATTTCCAGAACTATTTCTGGTTGTCATAAAACAAGATCATTTGGTTGGTTATTAAATAGAGGTGTAAAATTTTCTTTTATTATGTTCACATTTATCAATGATTCATTTACTTTACAAATAAATTATGAAATTTGTCATTTCATACCCACTACTATATACAAAATATTGTTTTTTGTTTTGCTTATATTTTTTTTATTTATGTTAGTTGTATTTTGATTTCTCATTACTCACAGGAATAAATAATAGTTAATAATATGTAGGTTTTATTAAACCAATACATTTTTTCTTAGATAATTTTTAATGAGATCGTTCACATTTCAAAATTATAAAAATTTTGACAGGTCGTTTTATAAACATCACGAAACAGAACCGGATCGCCAACTGGTGATGTTTTACCCCTATTGGCTAATAAATCTGTTTTATCTGCTCCTATTAATTTATATATTAATTATTCAACTGCTTTTGAGCAATTAATAGTATCAATAAACAAATAGCGTGAGTTTTAATAATGAGTTATTATAACTCACGCTGGGCTCCTACGATAATTTGGTAACCAAATAGTGTGCGCAGTAAATTCTTGGAAATTTTAAAGTCGATAAATACGTTCCATTGGCGTAAAATCTTAGAAAGATTTTTAACAACTGGAAAGGAATGAATAATTAAAAGATTTTAAAATTATTAAATTGTTCGTAATTTCATTTGATATTTTAACATGATAATTTTGACGTTTTCAAATCAATTTCTAATAATAGTTCTAACAAAAGATGAATTTAGATAGTGAAGATGAATTATCTCCAGAAATAAGAGAGATAGCTAATAATGCTATACAGAATTTATTATCAGAAAAATAAAAAAAAAGTATAAAGGTGTATACAAAAATTTTCAAGATTGGTGCAACTCGTTTACAGAAAATGTACCTTTGGCATATTTAAATGAACTTAGCAATAAATATAAAGCATCGTCTCTACGGACTTTCTATTCCTTGCTAAGAAGCACACTTAACATAAATAATTGAATTAATATAAGTAGATAGACAAAGCCGATTCTGTGACACATATGCAATTCAATGTGTAAGAGTGAGAGGTACATATTCAATGGATAAGAGTGAGACAGCCGGTCTGAGGGGAAAACGGGGTAGTGGGGGAGTGGGGAATTAAATTTCTTTTAACGTCGAAGAGAAAAAACATGCGCAGAACGAAAAGCCAGAATGGCCTTAGCGTGTATCTTTATTGCTATTGGTCCGATTCAAACGGGAAAAACGGCATTATGTAGAGAACGTGGTATAGATATTAACGTCGAAGAGAAAAAACATGTGTAAAGCCAGAATGGCCTTAGCATTTATCTTCACTGCTATTGGTCCGATTCAAACAGGAAAAACGGCATTTTGTAGAAAACGTAGTATAAATTAACGTCGAATAGAAAAAACATGCGAAGAACGAAAAGCCAGAATGGCCTTAGCATGTATCTTCACTGCTATTGGTCCGATTCAAACGGGAAAAAGGCATTATGTAGAGAACGTGGTATAGATTAACGTCGAAGAGAAAAAACATGTGTAAAGCCAGAATGGCCTTAGTATTTATCTTCACTGCTATTGGTCCGATTCAAACTGGAAAAACGGCATTATGTAGAGAACGTAGTATAGATTAACGTCGAATAGAAAAAACATGCGAAGAACGAAAAGCCAGAATGGCCTTAGCATGTATCTTCACTGCTATTGGTCCGATTCAAACGGGAAAACGGCATTATGTAGAGAACGTGGTATAGATTAACGTCGAACAGAAAAAACATGCGCAAAACGAGAAGCCAGAATGGCCTTAGCATGTATACTTCTATTAGTTCGATTCAAACGGGAAAAACGGCTTTATGTAGAGAACGTGGTATAGATTAACGTCGAAGAGAAAAAACATGTGCAAAGCCAGAATGGCCTTAGCATGTATCTTCACTGCTATTGGTCCGATTCAAACAGGAAAAACGGCATGATGTAGAGAACGTAGTATAGATAAACGTCGAACAGAAAAAACATATGTAAAGTCAGAATGGCCTTAGCGTATATCAAGCGGTCCGATTCAAACGGGAAAAACGGCATTATGTAGAGAACGATTAACGTTGAAGAGAAAAATCGACGTTTCGTTTGACGTTTTTGTTTAACGTTTTCGAAAAATAAATAGAGATTTACGAAGATAAATAACAAGTTTTAAAAGATTTGACAAATTTAAGTCTTTGGGAGGATATTGAGAGATATCATCCTAGACTACTTAGAAGAATCCAACCGACGCAAATATGGCCATCTTAAAGGCTAATTTCATAATTATTCAAAATTACGTGCGTTTCTTAAACGTTAATCAGAGAAACCTATAGCTAAAAAGGCAAAAACATTTACGCCAGAACAACTTAATAATTTCATAAATGGAGCTCCTGATGAGACATATCTGGCGACAAAGGTAATAGCTTTTAGAAAGATTCAAACGTTTTTATCATCTAGTCAGTTATATAATTCTTTCTCGATACTTGTATCTTAGTATTTATGGTTGTAGTCGTAGATAAAGTATAGTATTCAACTTGCGGTAATGGTCATAACTCACTTGATGAATTACAGCACTCGTCTGCGACTCGTACTTCATCTGCGTGAGTTATGACCTGCATTACCGCTCGTTAAATAATATACTATTATAATGAAAATCTGTTCCATTATGAAAATTTCTTACTTACTTAATGAACATTTATATCATAATTAATCTCAATTTAAAACAAGTGAGATTTTGTATTAAATATGTACATTAAAAATGCTTTTATTTAATTAGAAATTTAAAGAATAGTGTTGACGATAGGATGGATACATATAACAATATATATGCAGATTGTCTCTCGAAATGATCCATATCGTAAAAACCTATTTCACATTTTACGGAGAGAAGAATAGAGCAAAATTACACATAATTCGAACATGTGAGGGATAAAATGAAAATAGGAAGAACTCAAGTTAGCGAGAAAATTCAGGAAGACGTAGTTATGTCGGCAATAGAAAATCCACACGCTACAGTGAGGAGATGAGGAGATTAGCAAGAGATTTTGATATTAGAAAGAACTGATTTCTTCGAGTGTAATGATAAACTGAAATAATAGAAATTCCGATTTCTTTGAAAGGGTTTTATTTTCCGACGAATCAACGTTTTATCTAAATGGTAATAAAAAGCAACAAAATACTTATGATGAAATCGCACACTATACGTGAATTACACAAAAATATATAAGAAACAGCAACAATAATAACTGGTTATGTCCTTTATTTCTCACAATGTTTAATTATTCAATGAACTTATTTCATTCTTAAATGAGTTAAACCAAATTTGGTAGATTTTCACAAAACTTTTATTAAAAAAAAAAAATAAATAATTAAAAACACTACACATGACATGTTTCGAAGTAGGAAACGTTCAATTGTTCAAAGTTCAATTGTCCCTGTTCTTTAGGATTAAAATTATTATTATGACCATCAATTATTAGACCAGGATCGATAATTTTGAAAATGGTAAAAAGTGAAAAAAATTATAGTAGGATGAAACCCGTTAAAAAAGGACGAGAATATAACAAAAATGGAAAGGAAAAATAGTTTATGGGTGATCTGAGGTGGGGAAGTGGAAGGGGGTGAGTTTTAAGGGTAAAAAACGGTGTATCTCGATTTCCGGCAAAACTACAAGTCCTATGGAAAAAATTAAATGACAAAGTTGTAGGTAATAAAGAGACCTACAACTTTTGTAATTACACTTTTTTCACATAACCTCAAAAAGTTTTTGGTTTTTTATTTCTATCTTATGCAAAAAAAAATTTTCTCACGAAATTTGGTGAAAACTTCACTTTTTATGTCCTAAAGACACTGTAATTTTTTTGATTTGAAATATTTATTTTTTCACCTTATTTTGACTTAATATCGAAAAAACACCCTAATTTTCAATCGAAAATTCTCGCGTCAAAATATCAGCTTTTAAAAAACAGTCGGGGAGTTTTTTGTTCGTTGAAATCTCTTCTTTCTGATAATCTAAAAAAATATATACATTACTATGATAAATATTCTCAGAAAATGCAAAGAAAAGAAAAAAACTCGAATCCAAAATTTTTTTTTTTCAATCACTGTGTACAAATTCGAGCTATTTAGTAAAATTTACACGAAAAACGTAAGATTCTATGTTACACTAATAAACAAAAAAATACAAATCCAATTATATTACTATAATTAACAACCAAATAAGTTAATATTTAATAAGACATCTACAATATTTTGAGAAAGTTGTAGAATATTCTTTAAATTATGTGCATAGATGCCTATTTACGAGTACTCCTATTTTAAGATAATTTATATACCTGAGTTACCTAGTGATAATTTTAGCCCATCAAAAGGTATTTCATAGAGAAGTGGAGAAGGGGCTAGACGGGTCTAGGTATTTTTACTTATTTCGCAGGATTTTCCTGTAAACAAGTAGAAGAAGATGCTGATGCAGACATTATTAAAACTTCGATAGAAATTGCCAGAGATACCAATAAAACTGTCATTGTTGTGGGTCAAGATATTGATCTCTTGGTCCTTTTGAATCAATTAACTTCAAATAATCATGATATTTATTTTCTCAAACCAGGTTCTGGAAATGTAAAAGATCTATTTTTCACGTCTAATAGTTTCAAATATGAATCCTTCAAAAATATCGTTGCATTTCTACATTGTTTTTCTGGTTGCGATACAACATCTGGATTTGCCGGAAATGGAAAGAAGAGTATTGTAAATTCATTATTAGACGATAAAAATGTGTCAAATTTGGTCAATATTTTTTATTAAAAAGATGCAAACAAAAAAGATATCGAAAAAAATGGATTACAATTAATCAAATCTATTTATAAATGTAAAAATGATAATATAACACTGAATCAATTAAGATTTCAAAAATATCAATTGGCAAAAATTAATTCATCTTTCATATTGGCAAATCTCGCACCCACAGAAGGTGCAGCAGAACAACATTGTTACAGGGCATATTATATCAACTTCAAACTTGGCTAGGTAACGATCTGACAGCAATAGATTGGGGCTGGAAGCAACATCAACGTGGGATTATGCCCAAATTTACAGAGAAGGAGTTAATTCCGGAAATATTGCTCAAAACTATTTGCTGCAGCTGTGAAACTGGATGCAACAGTTTAAAATGTGGCTGCCGAAAACATGGCTTAAAATGCACAAATTTATGCTCAAATTGTAATGGTTTTGAAAAATGCACCAATGTGGAAGAAAAAACCTACGAGGAAGTTAGTGATTCAGATGAAATTGTGGATAGGACCAATTCAGACTAAAAATAATATTTGATACGAAGACGGTGATTGTCTTGAAGATTTCGAAGATCTACTAGAATCAGGAAGGTTTTTCGAATCTAACGATTAAGAAATGCCACCGAAGAGACAAAAAGTACTGGATAAGTGATTAGGGTACATAAGAAGATTAATGCATTTTAAAATATTATTATGAATAATAATAATCAGTATAAAGTATCTAAATTCAATAGTACGATTTACATTTCTATTCATATATTATGAGATTTTCTATGACATAAATATAATTAGAATTTAATAAATCAACATTTTGACTAAAAAAAATTGCAGTAATAACATTTTTTAATTGAAATCCCCCCCTTTAAATCCTATCTTTAATATTTAGAACAACTATTTTCGCATGTTTCTTGCAATTTTTATGATTTATGGATTTGTAATTTTTTTGTTTATCAATGTAACATAGAATCTGACGTTTTTCAAGTAATTAAAGTGTCAATTTTACTAAATAGCTCAAAATTGTACATTGTAGATAAAAAAAAAAAAAATTCGGATTCGAGTTTTTTTCTTCTCTTTGCATTTTCTGAGAATACTTACCATAGTAATGTATATATTTTTTTACATTATCAAAAAGAAGAGATTTCAACGAACAAAAAACTCCCCGATGTTTTTTAAAAAGCTGATATTTTGACGCGAGAATTTTCGATTGAAAATTAGGGTGTTTTTTCGATATAGTCAAAATAAGGTAAAAAATAAATATTTTTATAATCAAAAAAATTACAATGTCTTTAGGACATAAAAAGGTAAATTTTCAATAAATTTCGTGCAAAAATTTTTTTTTGCATAAGATAAAAATAAAAAACCAAAAATTTGATTATTTGAATTTTTCACATAAAATGTGACGTTGTATGAAAAAAGTGTAATTACAAAAGTTGTAGGTCTCTTTATTACCTACAACTTTGTCATTTAATTTTTTTCCATAGGACTTGTATTTTTGCCGTAAATCGAGATACAAGTTTTTTAACCATAAAAACTCACCCTCTTCCACTTCCCGCCCTCAGAGCGCCCGTAAATTATTTTTCCTTTCATTTTTGTTATATTCTCGTCCTTTTTTAAAGGGTTTCATCCACTGATCTGTAAAACAGATTAGTGGTTTCATCCTACTATTATTTCTTTTGGTTTCAAAAATTATCGACCCTGGTCTATATAGTTTACAAGTGAATATATCAGTAATGTGAATAAATATTGAAATGTTATTCTAAAGTAAAATTTGATGTTTTTTTTTCAGTTTTTGTCACATTTAACCTATTTACTACTTACCAACTAGGTAAAGTTTTGACAGATTAATTTTTGATGTTACATTGCAATTATTAAATTGAAACTAAATATCGCCAAATATCTAAAATATTTATTGGTATCTGTGTACCTAGATTTGGCAACCTGGATATAAAAACAAGTACACTTAAAAATAAAATTATAAATCGAGCTAGCGGTACAGTTATCGCCATGTTTGTACAATGTATTTAATACTTACTTTGTTACAAAATCGCTGGCTCAAATCTCGAAATATTGCCATTCTATGGAAGTGGGTAAAGTACCTACCGACTCAAAACAATTAAATTTCACAGCCAACTTCAATTATAATTTTCCTCTATGGCTCGTTATTTGTGAAAATTGAATAATACAAAATCCCTTATTATACTAACTTTCCCTTGTAAAAGATAATATAACTTATTTTCCAAAAGGACAAAATTTATCTCACAAAATATATAAAAAAACAAGCTTGCCGTCTTATCATCGTCGCGTTTCATCTCACATTTATGCCCTGAGGAAACTGAATCTCATTACATATATCTATATTACAGATCTCCAGGCAGATGGCAGTATAAAACCACTTCGAAGCCCCGGGTAACTATCCGAAAACAAAACAGCGACGAAGCGGCAAACAATAACGAAGCGCTGGGGACGACATCTTCTTCGCCGATGCCTCCCGCCGCCGTTCAGGAAGTGCCCCAGTCTCCAATCAACGACGTCGTTACTTCCCAGTCCCGATCCGACGATATAGATAGTCTAGAAGGCTCTGAATCAATTGCGTCAATTATTGACGACGAAAGCGCCACTGCGAATAAACTGGAAGCCAATCCGGTCGCTCCGGTGGCTTTTCCCGTTGAAACGATTAAAGTCGAAATTTCCACGCCGTCCGATTTCGGAGATATTTACTACGAGATTGCTACTATTAAGTCACCCTATACTTTTCAGGTAAATAATCACACGTATTTATTTTCTTTTTCTTTCATCAAATACTAGACGTAGCAAAAAACTATAAGCGGTACGCCACCACCAGTTAACCCTTTTACGGCCGCTGATGTGTATACGCAACACTGCACAAATTATTTTTTTATGGAAAATTTATTCGTTTTGAACATAAAATGTTCACATGCATCATTGATAGAAGGTCCAACAAAAGTGATAGGATCGTATTTTAAGAAAGTTTTTCATTTGTATTTTTTTTTTTGGGAAATTCCCAAAAAACCGAATTTTCAAAAATCAAAATATATATGTCTTAGTCAGATTATAAAACCCGTCATTTTATAAATTGTCTGGGCGTTTTATAAAAAGCGGCCAAATTGTAAAATGTTCGTTTACCTTTCATTAATTTCACTATCTGACTAGCCGGATTATAAAATATTTAGACGTTTTATAAAAAGACGCTTAACTCACGGCCAGATTGTCAAATATTTAATATTACCCTGTTTGATATTCCGGCGGGTAAGGGAGTTTCAGTCGTCTTGTAAAAAACACTGTCGATTTTCGACAAGAACAATTTAATTTAGGATGATAACAAGGTATAAATGAAAATGCAGAAAAAAAAATACAAATGATAAAGAACAAACTACATGTACAATGTGTAATTTCGCAGTAAGTGATAAAATTAAATGGAAATGTAATATTTGCTGTAAAGAAAAAGTAATGAAAACACAGTGCAAAATAGACCAAAAATGTGTAGCTGACCAAATGGTCCAAATAACACAAAAAAAAAATGGTAAGATTTGTAGGTGGAGGAGCATGTTTTTATAACATTTCCAAAATTTTCCAGGGGTCCGCTTGATCCTAAAGCTGTATTAAAAACTATTCTTGATGTTCGAAATGGAGTAAACCAGATAGGACCTAAATATGGGCTTTAAATCGATAAAATTCAAATCATATAGAAAACCTAACATCTCAATGACCAAAGAAGGCAGACAAGTTAAACAATTTTTCTTCAAATTTAGGAGACACTATGGCAAATAAAATACCTAATATTAACCTTCCAGAACAATTTCTTAAAGTTAAAAAAAAATTATCAGTGTATATTTTTAAAACCATTAATTAAGTAATTAATGAAGTAATTAATCTTATATCAAATTTAAAAAATAACTTTTCACCAGGCCCCGACAAAAAAGCCACATCCATGAATACATTGTCTTACCTCTAAAACGTATTATAAATCTTTGTTTCCAATATGAAAGAATTCCTCAACAATCGAAGAACTCAATAGTCACCCCTATTTTTAATTCGGGTGACCCCAGTAAATTTACGAATTATAGGCCCATTTCGGTTATTAATAATTTTGCAAAATTTTTTGAAATGGCTCTAAAAAATAGACTAATTGACTTGTTTCATACAAATAACACTATTACAGAAAGACAATATGGATTTATAAAATAACTCTAATACTGAAAATGCTGTTGTGGATTTTCTAGAAAAAACGATCGGTGCCTTGGATAGGTCTCTGACATGCCTAACGATATTCCTCGACTTGGCCAAGGCCTTTGACACTATCTCTCATGAAACTTTATTAATTAAGTTAAATTCATATGATATTAAAGGTCTTGCCCTTGATCTAGTTTCTAACTACCTTTCCAATATAACTCAACGAGTTATAACTGGCAATATTATCAGTTCCGAGTCCATTGTAAAAACGGGAGTACCACAGGGAACCGTATTGGGCCCAATACTTTTCCTTGTGTATATAAATAATATTACCAAGATAAAAAACTTCACCGGAGACCTCCCGATGACACTGCTTTAATTCTTACGTGTAAAAACTTGGAGGATTCTAAGATTTCTGCAGAATCAGATTTAAGGAAAATAGGTTTGTGGTTAAATTATAATAAGCTTACATTAAAACTAAATTTATAACATTTAGCCCAACAATTATTAACCAACCTAGTAACATTGTTATAAAACTTGACTCTTTTAGCTGTCAAAATAATATCTGCCAATGTCCTTCTATTGAAAAAGTAACTTCTATTGAATACTTGGGAGTTATACCAGATCAATATGTACGTTGGACTGAGCATATAATCCATGTCAGTAAACGGTTAACAGAAATCCTTTCCAAAAAAAATATAGTTATTCTTTACAACTCTTTAGTTGAATCTACTTTGAGATATTGTATAGTTGCTTGGGGCAGCGCTTTTAAAAGTACCCTGAACATTCTACAAACCATTCAAAGTACCTTACTAAAAATCATTTTCAATAAACCCAAACTTTTCTCTACTCAAAAATTGTATAGGGGTAATCAGCGAGGTGGGAGTCATTTTATTGTATTGACAAAATACTCATGGCGGTATCTAGACTATGGAGGTACCTCGATAGCCCTATATCCAGGACTTATTTAAGGGAGCTTCTTTGAAACAACAGGAAGTGGTAAAGATGCAGTACGTTTTGGCCGATCACAAATTTCTGACGAAAAAAATTATATAATTGCAAAAATGATAATAAATCCTATTTTTGCAACAACCCAAGCTGCATCTACCTGTAAAATTAGTCAAAGGACAGTGCACATGGTGTTGAAAAAACACAAATTTCAACAATATAAATGAAACATTTTTAGATGACGACCCTGACAGAAGACAGGAAGTCCGTAAAAATATGAGGACTAAAATTTATCGGGCGCCAGTTTATTCAAAAACAATTTATTTTAGTGACGAAAATACTTTCAGTTTTATAAGTAAGACGAACACTCAAAATATAAGGCCCTGGAGTGACATATATCTTTTTTTACGTGAAACAACAGTTTTTAGAAACAATAAATATCTAGGTAGGCATTCTGGGATATCACGTAGTTGAAATTAAATTTTTGAATTTTAATTTAATAGGTTAAGTTTACCTGGAGATGTTAGACACAGATATTAAGTCGTTAATTCTAGAAATTGGGAAAGAAAATCTAGATGAATTTGATAATTTTGAAATAACGTTTCAACAACTATTATGTTGCAGTTAGACGTTATTTAAATGCCAAATATTCTGGTAGATGGATTGAACGACGAGATCATCGAATCGCTGGCTTGGTCACTGGTTCTTACACCTTTAGGTTTTGTCTGTAGATGGCATCTTAAATCTAAGTTTTACGTTACAGCACCTAACAATATTAATGAAAAGCGTGTAGCAATGAAACATTTAAACAAATGAGAGAAGAATTTACAAAAGGATGTTTTACTGTCAGGAAGTAGATGCAGCAGATTTTGAACATTTATTATTTGAAGGACTCTTGAATCTATTAATTATGCGCTATATTGAAATTTTAATATTTATTATTGAAACAAAATTGTGAAGGTTGAATAGGTCCTTTAAATACCTTTCAAACGAAGTGCCATTTAAAAGTATTCGTCACATCAGTTACCACTACAAAAGATTTTATATTCATTTATTTTTACTTTACAAATTTCATTAGTTTAAGTATAACCAATCAAAATATATAGGGAGGAGACTTTTGGCTAGCACTGTATAGATCGGCGAACACTATATAATTAATGTGTTTATATTTAAGTTATTTTTTATACATTTTATAAAAATTGTTTTATTATTTCGGTTACAGTTCATCAAATTTCTAGAGGTGTTCGACGCCCAGACAGAGAACGCGCTACGTGTGACTAAGATAGCTATTGTACAGTCTGCTAAACAAGTTATTTTAAATAGTTTTTAATATTTTTAGGTAATTAAATTTTAAAAGTGTGGAATAGTTTAGGGATTAAATTGGTCTGATTGGACTTTCTTAGAACGTTTTTAAAAGCAGCTAAAGATAGCATGTAGAATTGAAAATAATTATTATGCCATAAAAGGTGTTTTGGAATTCCTTCAACCTTTTGAAATTGAGTCAGAAAATATAAATTTTATAGGATAGCGGAAAATACCTATAATTTTTTTGTAGGCCTTTGTAAATCGTGGAAATAGTTTATATTTTATTTCTACCTTATTAAGGAAAATGGTACCTATTATTAATAATGGTTGTTTCTGAAACATTACTAAAATTTTCGAAATTTTGTTTTTCTACAAAATAATAAACTATACTATTTAGAAAAAAATTTATTTCTCTTATAATTTTATAAAAAATAACAGGGGAATATCTACATTTCTTGATCTATTAAACAAAACGATAAATTATCTCGACGAATGACACCATGTTTTAGTACGGAAGCTAGCTTTACATTTTTGTTGGTGGTTTCATGGGTTTCATATCAATTTTTTGTAATTGTAATTTACACGTACATATACCTCTTAACACTTGTTTGCTTTATTAAAAAAGTGTGTTGTTGTGATTTACGTCGAAATAAGTCAAAAACAACTTGAAACCCCATATAAAATCAAAAAGGAGAAACGGAAAAAAATTGAGCCTGTAAATGAACACAACTCAGAAACAAAAATAGCTATCTAATAATAAAAAAATAAAATTTGATTCTTGTGCAGCTTCATCTATATCATTAACTGTTTTTGGTTTTTTAATGGTTTTTCTTGGTGATGAAAATTTCGATATCTCACGGTTATCGATTCTTTTTTTCTCTCCAGAAATGCGGACGACAGTGTTTTTAGATACTCCTGTGGCTGTAGCAACACGATCATTTACATTTTTAAATGGTATTGAAGGTGAATTAAAGTTTCCTTCTCTTCTCATAAACTCTATAACATTGGCTATTATTTCGCGAGATTGACTGTTAATCACGCGGCCTCTTAATTTGCTATTAAACTCCATACTTAGGTTCTATTAAACTGTAATGAGCAAAAAACACAAACGAAAATAAAAGAAATGTTTTAGCGAAATTTACATCTGACATTTACGTCTGAATGAAATAGTGAAATACTTGATGCGCAGAGTGTACTTTCATTGCGTAAATCCGTCGGGATGCCTGTCAGTAGTGCTTTCTCTGTCTAGCCGTCGAAAGCCTCTAGAAATTTGATGAACTGTACATTTTTTTAATCTATCTAGACATTTTTTT